GTTAAACATTCCAGACAGTCTGTGACTCAAATTTGCATGTTCGTCTGTACCCCTCAGTGAGGTTCTTCTGGGGCCTCATGGGGAAAATTCATCTGAATTCCCCCATCACTGAAACAGTCCCAGACTCCGTGTGCTTTCAAAAGTGACGCCAGAATGATGAGCTGTGTGGTCCCTGTATGTACTGTAGATGTATATATACGTATACGTACACTCATTCAATTTTCTTACAAACTTTAGAGAGAGTAATGAGAAAGGTCTTAGTTTAAACTGAAGGTCCTTCTTGTCAGCTTCCATAGTATTCATTCCCAAATAGAGAGGTGTATTAGCAAATTTATCCGAAAAGACCTCACCTTTCCAAGCTTAATACAGAAAAGTCTTCAGTAAATAACTGATGCCAGATTACTTTCATCAAGTGAGACAATAGATAACCATTGCACAATGTTTTAAACAAATCTTCCACTTCGGTTCTCTAAACCAATATATATTACTGCATTGTTCGTAAATTTGGGGGAATCTTTCTCAATTAAAGTGCGGTTTTCTCCCCCATGACAACATGGGAAAAAATGTCCTGTCCCTGTATAACAAATTTTGATACCTAAGGAAGCATCCCTCAAACTAACAGGCCTACTTGTATTCTTGCTAAAATTTCTGTTACTTCTAAGGAAGGTACTAGATTCAAAGTAGTGCCCCAGACCGAAACATTTGCTTAAAATGAACATACATCACAGTGTTAAATAATTTTTCTTACTGAGTTTATCATTCCAAAAACTTAAATGTAACTGACAAAGTCTAGGTCATATGAAACTTAAGTAAAAATATTACAGGATATTGGCCAAATGTTAGAAATATGTATATAACATGCACTTTTGGAAAATCTGTGGCTAGTTAAGGAACTGTTCAGTTCAATTCAACAAATGCACGTGGACTACGTGCAGGTCCAGGGCACAAGTGTGTGCTGTGGCTGCTGCCTTTTGACCCCGTTAAACAGACTGGTCCTCCTCCAGTCTCTCTTGCTCAGCCCTTTCCCTTTTCTCTCTATTCTGGAATAGGCGAGAGCAAAAGAAAAAAGGATATAAGCTAGGCAAGAGCCATGTCGTGCCTAGATTGAGCTGCTTGGCGTGGGTGAGCACCTCCCAGAGTGCGTGCTGAAGGTCAGCAGTAGCCCTAAAGGTAACCATTTGTAGGTGTTCTGCCAAAAACAGAGGACGGGTGGAAAGTTCTGTGGGAAACATCAGCTTAAAAAAATTAAGCAGGTCATCATTGCTAGGCCTCACAGAAATCTTTAGCATTCTACTGTGCTTTGTGGGAGACAGAGTATATACAGTGTTACCTAAAACCTATTTGATCATGAAATACTTCTTCCTCTGAAAAGACGCTAATATGTCAAGGGGAATGCTGGCATGGGCCATGAAAACAAGCAGGAAAGCTGCACTTTTCTTGGGAAGCATGGTATCTTGGAACTCACGGCAAAGTAAATGACCCAGGGCAAATAGAAACCAGCCATCATGAAATGGATCTCCTACGAATACTTGCATTTCCGGGCCTGTCTTCTTATCGGAGTTAGGAGAGAAGAACCAATAATCTGATTAATGTTTTTCCTTTTGGAATTTCTACTAAAAAGCCCTTTTATGGGGGAAAAAAATAAAAACAAAGGATCTTTTAGGAGTTATGCTCTGTCAGCTGCTAGTGCATCATCTGCTTGTGAGTTGGGTTTAGAGCATTAGACTAGCCTTTACTGTCATTACTTGTCATTGACTAGCCTTTACTGTCATTACGGCCCACGTGACTTCTGAAAACTATCATTGTTATTTTTAGTGACATTTTCTTGATAGAATTACTCTTTTTTTTTTTTTTTTTACCCCCTCCATTTGGGATACTGAGGCTAGATCCTTGTAATTCCTGGTCTCTTTCTCCCCACCTTGCTCACTTTATTTCTTCTGCTCAGAATGCCCCTTCCTTTCCTGTGTTCATATCTAAATTCTGTCCTTCCCACTCCAGTTTATGAACCAATAATTTCTTCCTTCCTTCCATACCAAAGCACTTTCCTTTTGCCTTGCTAGTGGTACCTCTTAATGCTATGTCTTGGACATCTCTGGACCCTCCAGCTGGCCTCACCTAGTTGTTGCACAGAGTAGCCAGCCATTCCGTGGACGTTGATTGATGAGTGATGGGTTAATTATGAGTAGAGTTCTGTTTCCTCTCGATTACTTGTTGTATATTGCTAAGCAAATATGATAGGAAAATAAAAGTGGCAGAAAGGATTGCCTAATTGACTGGTTCTTCAGGGCATCCCTTGTAAATAAAAAGAAACAGGATAAGGTTTATTGAAGCAAGTGTTGAATTCAGGCAGCCCTCGGCCACGCTAGAACTGCAAACAGCTGGGCTTCTACCCAACGGAAGACAACTTCATATGAGGTGCTTGAGTACCAGTATTCAGCTGCTCTGTTTCCCTTGTCATTGTCTCCCAGAGATTCTAAAGGTCATCCCTGTCTAATCCAAACATTTCTTAGCGCTTTAGTCAAAACTCTGTCCAAGTTTTCTATACCTCACAATTCTGTAGAAATTGTTAATTAAGGGTCAGGCCAGTATTAAATATAGTTGGCAAATTATTGTGAAATGTTAACATATACTGAAGGCCCCAAGTTACTAACATCCAGCTTTCAAATGGCAGTTACTGCTCTGACCCCCGCCAGCGCCCCCCTCTGCCACTGCCGTAGAAGCTAAGGGCAAAGAGCAGTTTACAGCTTAGAGAAGAATCTATAGATGCAGATATGACGGAAGGAAGGTTGATCTGCAAAGAGGGACTGCTCAGGGGAGCCGACCCCAAGGGCGGCCTTCGAGGCCTCAGTGGCCTCTCTCCCCACTACCTTGCCATGTTAGGCTACTTGAGATTCCAGTTATTAGAGGAGTATAATCGTTTCTTCTTCTCCCAGTTTGATTACTGTGTATTGAGAGAGGAAGCCTTACTAGACTGTTGGTTCACTTTCTCAAATGCGCCAGCAGTATTAGCCACCCGGCCACATGAACCAAATTCCAGGAGTTTTGAGAGGTTCCAGGCAGGCTTGCGCCTCCCCTTCCTTCCTCAGCCCAACCCAACCTCCCTCCCCCGCCGCTCACCACCAGCCCATTTGCCATGCTTCCATCAGGCTCCACACACACCTCTACGATGGGGTCACTGCATGTACAAAACCTAGGGGCACAAGTCCCACAGCAATTAATTAGTGAAGTCATTAGTAATTGTCTAGCACACATGGTAAATGTGTGTAGCCATTATGTGCTGGGTCCAGTATTCTCGGAGGGAAGTGTCAGGTATGAAGTGTGCAAGACATGGCATTGGCCCAGTGGTGGCAGCCTCTCTACTCGACTTAGCCTGCGGGGGGAGCCACACAGTGGAAACCTTTCCTGTACTGTCTCAGAGAAGCAGCTAGCACTGCACCAGCGAGCAGGAAATTCAGTCCTCTTTGGCTCTTCCAGTGATTCTTCTTCCTACTTTTCAGCCTTGCAACCATCGCTTCAGATTCTCGCACAGATGAAAGAAGTGCTGCTCCGATGGAGGGGAGGAGGGGATTGAGCTCTCCGTACTTGGTCCCTTCACCTCCTTCTGGAGGTCCCTAAGGTTCCTTTGGAACACAATAGAACCAGTTTACCATGGGGGCGTTTTATGTGCTTTTACTGTGCTTATTAAATATCACATCTGATTTTCAAATAGCCCTTTTTGCACCAGAATATGTGATGAAGTTGTTTCACTAATCCCTAGAAGTTTTGTTTTTTCCTTCAACAAGTTGGTAGCCACTCTTTTTGGAAAAGCATTAACATGCATAACCACTATAGTCGACTTCAGTGCCCATTAATGAAGCCCAGAACTAACGGTTACATTGTCGTAATTTGACAAAGCCATCTAAATCTATGCATGTTTTTTTGAAAGCTCCCTAAACATGCTGCTAAATCCCCTAAAGAGCTACTAAACTGCTTTGGCAGCCATTAGCCCAGCATAAGCAGAGGAACTCTTTTCAGTAAGTGAACAAACAGAGAAAATATGCTGAATGGCTGGACAAATGTGTTTCAGCTGGCCCTTTCATTTACCGATACGAGGGTGCAGTCAGTATCAATCACTGTTTTCCCTGTTGCCCTGAAAATCACAATATCTCTTTTCATCCCACAGGCTCTTTTCACCACAGTAATGTGTCTTTAGAATGACACTGGCATCAGCCCGCTTCCGCTGTCTGAAGTCCAGAGAGCTTAAAACACATTTCAGGATTCAAGACTTGAACCTTCCTCCCTTCCGTTTTCCTACCGCGCACTCTCCCCTCCCTCCCTCTAGCATCCACTCCACCCCCTCCCCAGCTTCTTTTCAGTTCTCCCAGCTTTCCTCGCTGAGTAAACAGAATTCACTTCTCTGTTCTAATGCAGCTCTCCAAAGTAAACGGAGACAACTCTATCTGATATTCCTAAGATTTAAGAACTCATTAAGGAGATGCACATAAAGAAATGCTTTTACATGTTGGTAATAGATCAAAGGTTGAAAGGAATGTGGAAATTCTATGCTATGACAAGGTGTGCTGATGTGCAGGTCCTCACTCTCCATCAGTGCCTCCTTCCCCGGCCCTCCCCCCATCACTGGGCTTCTCCCCCGTCCACCCCACCACCACAGACACACTCATCCTTTGTCATCCCGTGTTGGAGGTCTGTGCCTGCACGTCCGCTCCACCTTTACAATTGTAAGCTCCTTAAGAGCAAACGCCATAACATATATCTTTTTGCCGCTCCTGAATCTCGGTACTTAATATGTTGTTTTGAAATGAAGGTGATTACTTTTTATCCTTTTGAAAACTTAAGTGGAATGACTCCCAAAGATAAATTTTAGGGATAGGCTTTTAGTTGTAGAGGTTACCACGGGTGAATATTTGAAATGTTAACATTTCTAAAAAACAGTATTGATTGTTTTCTCTCTCCTTTTTTTTTGGTGCTGTTTTTGTTTTTGTTTGCTTGTATTGTTTCAGATTATAGCCGTATGTAGAGAGGCAGCCCTTCTGGCTCTGGAAGAAGACATTCAAGCCAACTGCATTATGAAAAAACACTTTACTCAAGCCTTGAGCACCGTGACACCCAGACTTCCTGAATCATTGAGACGTTTCTATGAAGATTATCAAGAGAAGAGTGGGCTGCATGCGCTCTGAGAAAATACACATATTCATTATGCTAAAAATACTTTCTAGAGAAAACTTGTTTCTTTTTTAAAGAGTGTCAGAATAGCCCTTAATAAGCAAAATGTCTGAAATATGTTGACTAGATTGAGGGGCTTCAGTTCTTATAGACATTTTGAATCATATGGCAACAATGAAAATATCCATGAAAAATCTCTGGACAAGAGTTTAAGTCAGTTTTATACGGAAATGTGTGCTGAGTGTTAAAAGGCAAACTTTTAGCTTTTTCATTAATTTGACCTGGTTCATTCCTCCCATGAAATGCTTTCCTTACTCCGGAATCCATTTCAGTGCATTTCCAAATACCAAAACTGTGGGCATCAGTTTTATACAAGAACATAGAAGATGCGTGTAGATGAAAGCACGGTGAAAGTTATTTACAAACCTTTAATTTTGAAGGCCAGCCCATGAAATGGCTAAAGCACCAGCTAGGCTTATGTGACCTTGTTTCCAAATACGTATTTGTTCTCATTATAATTCAGACTTAACATTTTCGCTTTAGCCTTCTTAACCTCTACTTATGGCAATTAAAAAAAGAATTGAGAGTTATTTCACATACTGTAATGGCCTTTGGAAGTTTAAAAAATTGGAAATATAAGCCCAGTCCAGACCTAGAAGTACTTGTGTTTTTTTTCTTTTTCTTGTTTTCATAAAAATGCTATAAATTAACCATATGAGGTATTCATGTTTTAACTTGTGCGCATTTCCAGGTTACCAGTAAACTTCTTCAGTTCAAAGGAAAACCGACTTGTACTCTTAATCACATTGTCTAACGCTGCATTCTAAATATCTCTATTTATTCTCCAAATTATTTATCCTTGAGATTTCTTGACACTTTGATAATCCATAAATATCCTTGAAAAAGCTGTTGGAAATTGATTGGTTGACTTCCAGTTCAGAAGCTGGCAGTGGGAAGAATGTGCACTTAAACCCAGTCACTGTAGATCTTTGAAAATTCCCAGAAAGACAAGTCAGGCGAGAAATACCTGATTATCAAACTAACAGGGCTGTACAGTTTTGTGGTGGTAGACATTCTGAAATCACATCTCAACTGTTTCATCCTCTGACTATCAGAAATAGATTTGCGGGCTTCCCTGGTGGCGCAGTGGTTAAGAATCCGCCTGCCAATACAGTGGACACGGGTTCGAGCCCTGGTCCGGGAAGATCCCACATGCCGTGGAGCAACTAAGCCCGTGCGCCACAACCACTGAAGCCTGCGCTCTAGAGCCCGCGAGCCACAACTACTGAGCCCACACACCGCATCTCCTGAAGCCCGTGTGTGCCTAGAGCCCGTGCTCCACAACAAGAGAAGCCACCGCAATGAGAAACCCGCACACCGCAACAAAGAGTAGCCCCCGCTCGCCACAACTAGAGAAAGCCCGCGCGCAGCAACAAGGACCCAACACAGCCAAAAATCATAAACAAAAATAAATAATTTTTTTTTTTAAAGCAGATTTGCAAGGGGTTTTTACCCAGACTACATTGGTTTATTAGTACATAAAACCACCCAAGGGATGAAGAATGTTACTACTATTTAGAAATGTGCTGGGAATTCCCTGGCCCTCCAGTGGTTAGGACTCTGCGCTTTCACTTCCGAGGGCCTGGGTTCAATCCCTGGTCAGGGAACTAAGATCCCGCAAGCCATGTGCGGCCAAAAATATATATATATAAATGTGCTGTCAAATAAAATAGTCACTAGTCACATGGCTATTTGAGATTTTAATTAAAATTAAATAATATTAAAAATATAGTTCATCAGGCATGTTAGCCACATTCCAAATGTTCAAAGGCCACATGTGACAAGTGTCTGCCATACTGGACAGAATAGATTGTAGAACATTTCCATCACTCAGAAAGTTCTGTTGGACTCTTGATTTAGAAAATAAGGCTTACACATTGAAATAAATAGAACCTCAGGGCTTCCCTGGTGGCGCAGTGGTTGGGAGTCCGCCTGCCGATGCAGGGGACACGGGTTCGTGCCCCGGTCCAGGAAGGAACGGCTGGGCCCGTGAGCCATGGCCGCTGGGCCTGCGCATCCAGGGCCTGTGCTCCGCAACGGGAGAGGCCACAACAGTGAGAGGCCTGTGTACCACAAAAAAAAAAAAAAAAAAAAAAATAGAACCTCAAAGTTACTTTTGTGCTTCCCATTATCCCTTTAGTCATTAGGAGACCGTAACTTCCCTCTAAGTGCTGGGGCACAAGAAAATAAGAGAAAAACTTATCCCCAAAGGCCTAAACAGGAAAATTAAATCCCATTGCCAATAAACGGAAAACCAGAACAATAAGCTTGAACCAACGCTGAGGCTCTCGGGCTGAGGCTGGGTACTGGGGAGGAGGAGGGCAACCTCGTCAGCAAGGAGTTTAGGTGTTAATGGCCACTCAGACCCTTCAGCCCACACAATGTTTGAAGTTGTGACTGAGCCTCATACATAATGTTCAGATCTTTAAAGACCAACACCTTCAGTGTAAGGGCAGACTAGACATCCTCCCACAGGCCAGGGAGACCACAAGGAACTTCTCTTGACTTGGTCTGTGCTTTGGAATAAAAGAGAGGCTTGACTATGGGCTCACCCGACCATGGCTTCAGGGTTTGAATTCACACAAACTCTGACACAGAGCTCAAAACCTAGAAATAAACATGAAGACAGAATCCAGGCTAGAAATAGCCTTTGGGTGACTAGCAGTTGCACTAGTTGGAGGAATATATCCTCACCCTGGCCACAGAGGATTCCAGCAGCTAAAACCCTGCTTACAGAGTTCATAATCCCAAAGGATACGGAGCAGTGGAGCGTCACGCTCTGCTGGCAGAGTATAAATTCGTGCAGCCACTTTGGAAAACAACTAGCATGTCTAATAATGTTGAAAACCCTATAATCCCAAGAGTTCTTCAAGTGTATATCTCAGAGCAAGCTATTCAATAAAGTAATGAATGAGAAAATCATAGCACCATTTTTTGTAAGTAGTAAGAAACTGGAAACAATCTAAATATCCATCAGTAACGGAATGGATTTCTATGGAATACTCATACAATACGGTACCCGTGGCAGTTAAAAAAAAGAAAAAAAAAGGCTGTATGTAAAACAGAGGAATCTCAAAAGAAAAAAGAATGTTTCATAAGCATACTTAACAATATTTATTTAACATTTAAGGCATGCAAAATAATACGTTGCTTCTGCGGACATGTAGTAAAAGACTACGTGAATGGAAACATAAAGCACCAAGTACTGGGAAGGAATTTCCTCAGAGGAGAGAAGTTGAAATGTTTCATATCTTAAGCTGAGTGATAGGAATACAGATGTTGATTGTAATACAGTCTATACTTTTTGTGTGCCTAAGTATTTTATGACAACTTTTAAAAGATGACTTTAAACTGACATGTTATGGTGCAAGGGCAAAATGCACCTATAGCCATGTTCTGCGTTCTAACTAACATCACAATCCTATTCACCCCGTTCCATGGACTTCCAGTGCAGTCCACAACGCCCACAATTCCATGTGTCTGGAAAATCAGGGGTACCGGGTATGATGGAATAAGATGCAAGTAGGGAAATAAGAGATCAGGCTTTTATGACCCAGGAAACAAGCTGAAAGAATTTTTTTGTTTTCTACTAGCTTTTTTTAATCTCCAGTTTTATTGAGATATAATTGACCTAGAGCACTGTATAAGTTTAAGGTGTGCAGCATAATGATTTGACTTACATCATGAGATGATGACCACAATTAGCTTAGCGAACATCCATCATCTCAAACTGATACAAAATTAAAGAAATAGAAAAACAATATTTTTCCTTGTGAGGTTGGAAGAAATTTGTTGGTGAAAGTTAGTGTTTAGGTGCTACATGTCTTGCAGCGGGTGGGAGAAATTAAATCTGAGAGTCAGACATCTGTTTCCATGGCACTGTGATCATGCAAAGAGTTGGAATTTAAGAGCTTGAAAAGATTTTAGAGCACTACATCTTTAGTCTATTCCAAACCAATTATATTTTATATCTTTAGGTAGCTAATTATTACCGTCGAAAAGGCAATGATAGTCCTTTATTTGAAGTTTGTGCCCTTTCTACAACAGTAACAGTAAAGGTCCGAGCCACAAAAAGGAGCAGGTCAGGTGTTGCTGATTAGAGTTTACCCTGTTTGATCCATGGTGGTCTGACTTCTAATTCCAGAATCTCATGTTTATGGACTTAAAAATAGTGTATGATCCCATTATCTGGGATAGTTTGTGATTGAATACACAGTATAATTCATGGAAAGTTTAAGTTCAGCAAGGAAAGAAAATGCCTAGCTTCCTGTCTTTTTGGTATTTTGGCATCTACTTGGTCAAAAGTTTGTCATTGGTTCAGATTCTTTCCAGGGTTTGGGGATATTCACATTGACAAGCTTTTTGCAGCGTGCCAAGGGATTTTAGTTTGAATAGTGAAATTAATGTTTCCTTCTAACAACAAAACTTAGAAGAATGGCTTCTAACTTTTACTTCTTTGTGACCAAGAAAACTTATTTATAAGCTTAACACCCACCACCCTAACTTCGTTTGAAAAATATTCGGTTCTGTGTTATTTCTAATATGTAAAACAGGTTTTAAAAATAATATATAAGCTTTCCATTTTAGAAAAAATAATTATTGAATTTATAGAAAAACCAAACCTGAGTGTATGTTTCATTTATCTTAATGGGGGGAAGGCTATAGAAAAGTTGCTCTAAAGATAGAATAAAATAATTTCCCTGGCCTGTTGTTACTTAAATTCCTGAATGTGAGGTTGTTAGAGGCTTGGTTCATTCTGTCATGTTTCTCTGAGTCCTTCCTTTAAAGATGGGCACGCACCAAAGCACTTAACGGAATTAACAGGAGTTTCCAAATACGGTTTACGTAGAAATTCTAGTTCTCCAATTGATTTGCTTTCCTTCCTTCTGTTTTCATTATACCAGTTGTGTGCATGGATAGACTTTACCTAACGTCTATGTCAAATATAACCCAG